TGAGTTAGTTTAAGCTTGTTTAAACTTTGAAAGAACTCATCACTTGTGCTAGAAATGCTAAGACCACGTACATCAATCACATAATTCATATTGGTCAACAATTAAGACATATGAAGCCTTCATTACCATGAATTGATAATGAACATTAGGACCCCAGAATGTGCGTCATGAAAAACTATGTTTTTGGGTAAGTGTGAAAAATAGATTTTTGAAATAATGATTATTTCAAAATAATTTTTCCCGACAATAACTCCTTACATTTCAAATAGCCTAAACTGATTTTATCAGAATTTTTGACCAAGTCTACATTGGTTTACATATGGATTCATTTTTACCAAAACTGCCAGAAATCCAAATTTGTACTAAAACTGAATTTTTACATTTTTATTTAGTTGGATTTCAATTTTCTTATATTTTTTATTGAATCCAAATGAGGGGTACTTCCTTATTTACATTGTAAACTTAAAGTAAATGGACATATAAATACTGTAAAGATATTTACTTAAAATATTTAGAATGGTATGTGCAGATGTCCTATATAAAAATTATGGAATCTATTAACTTATAACAAAATTCTGAAGTTGCAGTTTTAATGAAGCAATTCATTTTGGCAGACCGAAATGCATAGGCAATCTCTGCAGATGTCATTGCATACCTCACCTCTCTGCAAATATCATTGTATACCTCACCTCTACCAACTATATTGACCTTCTCTCACTATAAATATGGGCTGAACTTTGAGAAACAATACACACCATTTGAGAGACATCATATTGCATTAGAGAGCTTTTGTTCTCACATCTTCTCTTCATCTCTCTTATTCACTCATATACAAACCTTGAGAGATCTAACTAGGGATTCAAAGGGCTTTTACTCTAATTCGAATCTTCATAGAGCTTTTGCTCTATTCTATATTTGAGAGATCTTATTGATTTCATTAGAACTTTTGTTCTTCACTTATACCATCTTCTCTTATTCATTTCATTCATAGAGTTTGAGCTTCACTTATATTCATCAATACTCTAGTTGTGAGCTAAAATTTGTACATCTATCTATGAGAGATTTCTTGTACTTCTTGTATTTATTACAATCTATTGTAAGGGGTTGGTGTGACCCAAAGGAAGACTAAGGGAAGGTTGTTCTCTTAGCAAGGTGAAGCAAAGAGTTACTTCATGTAAAGGCTTGATCTCCACCCGTAAGGAGGTGCACTAGTGGATTGGGAAGTCTCTCGAGTCTTGAGCCGAAGAATAGGAGTTTTTAAACCTCACTAAAATCGCTGTGTGAATGTTTGCAAATATCTCTTCTCTTATTTCCTTTGCATTTATGCTATTAATTGTTTATATCTATGTATTGATAATTGCATAATTGTTAGAAGGATTTTAGTAAAATTTTACAAAACTGAAAATTGGCCATTGTTTGCCATAGACTCTATTCACCCCCCTTTAAAATCAATACTTAGGCAACAATTGGTATCAGAGCCTAACTCTATTTAAAAGGACTTAACCGTCTTAGAGTACGATCATGGTCAACAATGGTAGTATCACACACTTAGTAGGACAATCCATTTATATGCCTCCTTGTTTTGATGGAAATGATTATATCTATTAGAAAATTAAAATGAGGGTATTTCTAGAAATTATTGATATTAATGTATGGAAAGTTATAGAGAATGGTGATCATGTTCCAACCAAAGTTATTAAAAGAAATGAAATTCCTAAATCAAAAGGGGAATGGGCTGAAAATGATCATAGATTAATTCAATGTAATGTTTTAGCCATATGTTATCTTTATTGTGCATTGAGCAAAAATGAATTAAATAAGATTATCTTTTGCAAAACGGCTAAAGAAATTTGGGATTCACTTGAATCAGCCTATGTTGGATCAAGTCATGATAAGGAATCAAATATGCAAATGCTTATAAATAAAAATGAACCTTCTAGCATAAATGAGATGCATTCTAGTTCTACTAACATTACTAATCATTTGAATGTTATTGGTAGAACTAATTCATCCACTTACAGTGAAGAAAAGGAAGCAATCCAAAAGAAGAGTATAACTCTCCAAGCTTCAATTGACTTCAAGGAAATGGTTGATAATCATGAAGACGTTGGCCATTGTCTCATAGCCTTTGAAGATGAGGTAAAATCTAACCTTTATTCATTATGTGATAAAGATGTTTCATGCAATAAACTAGTTAATGCACACAATGAATTACTTGACTCTTTTAAAGAATTGCATCATGTGCTAGGGAAAAAAGTTTTGAAATACACATCTCTTAAAAAGGAAAATCATGATCTAGTGCAAAAACTCAAAAAGATTCAAACTAGAAATGAGTTCTTGAAAAAGGAAAATGAATGTGTAATTTCTAAAGAATCATCATCAATTGATCTTTTGTCCGAATACGAGTCTTTAAAGAAAATCATTGATAATCAAAATAATACTTTAGCAAAGTTTATAAAAGGAAATGATTCATTTGTGAAGAGTTCTTCTACATGCAATTATTGTAAAAAAATTGGACATGAAATTTATAGTAGTCCATTTAGAAAGAGGGTAAGGACAAAGAAGATTTGGATTCCAAAAGGAACTTATGTGCAATTACCTAACTTATATGGACCCAAGAAAATTTGGGTACCAAAAGAAGAAATCTTGAGTTTATCTTGTAGGGATACTTGAAGGGTAACAAATGATAAGAGATTGTTCGAACTTCCACACGCTTAAAACTTATGATGAAGTCAGTCTTACATTTGGGAACAACTCCAATGTCAAGGCAATTAGTATCATTATATATGAAGAGTACTTAACAATTTATTGTACTCTAGAAGACCATTGGTTTTACAAATTAATGATATGATATATTTATGCATCATCTTTGTATAAGCATTCATTGAAATATAAATAAATAAAGAAAACTGTTTTGAAATGCATATTTTATTGAAAACAGTTTTGTTCATGTATTATTATCCAAATATTGCTTCTTAAGAGTTACACTTCGAAATAATGAATATTGCTTGAGGATGAACCTTACTTTCCATTATGCTATCACTCCTTGATAATGAAATTTTGATTACGGAAAGAAATGCATCCTCCTTATTATTGTAGTATACTTAAAGATTTCTAAAAAGGAGAACTTCATTCATTCTTACCTACTTAGGAATAATCTTGTCCCTCCTTATCAATTATTGAATCTCATCATTGATAATGCACATGGAATTATACAATGATCCATTTATGAAAGTATGCAACTCCACCAAATTATATTAATTTCATATGGATTAATTGAATTGAAGCATAGTTATTCCTTGAATTGACAAATGCATTAGCATGCTAGATCCACCAAAATTGCTAATTAATTTTGTAGCATGTTAATAAGAGTACCACATTTATGCCTTGTATTAAATTGAGCTCCCAAAAGGAACCTTAACATTGTGTATTAACTTACAAGGACCCTAAAAGTATTGGGTGCCAAAGAATTCCACTTGAGCATACTTTGTAGGTTAAAGACCTATTCAATTAAGAACAAGTAAATTCAACTATGGATGGTTCAAGTACATAAGGAGAAATCAAACCAAAACTACTTCTATCTCACAATAGGAAGAAGGGTGCACTATATTGAGAAACCTTGCCAAAGCTAATGCAATTAATTATTTCGGTAAATATCCCCTTCCTCATCACAAATGTGTTTTATTTAATGGGCTAAAATGTGACTTAACTGTGCTATGTGATAAGGACTATACTATTTTTATATCTAGTCATGGCATAATTAATGTGGTTGGTGATCTTGACATGAATGCTACTTGTTGCTAACAATGTCTATCATATAGTAAATTGTCTTGAATTATGTGACTTAAACATGCTAGCATGCATTTGTTGTTAATTAAGACTAAATTTGTTAAAGATATTTAGAATTGCATGCCATTAAAGAAAGTCACTCAAAGATGTTAAAACCTACTTTATTTGGATTTATTTTAAGTAGTTATATCTAAAAATTCATGTGCCTTTGTGATTTTAAATGCTTCATTCACATTCTTGGCATCACTAGCATATAAAATGAAATCATTTGAACTTGAAGATGATTAGGTGAAATCTAGAAATTCAAGTTTATTATCATGAGCAAATTTACTGGTTTTGCATTCTTGCACAAACCGGTCGACCTAAGCTAAAATCGGACGACTGAAATGGCCATTTCAGCAGTCGTAAAAGGTATATCAGTCGATCGAAATAAACAAATCGAAAATGCTTCAAGGATGTAAACCAGCCGACCGATGGAGTCATTTTGGTCGATCGATGTGTGTGCGGCACCGGTACTTAAAGGGCTTTCAAATCTAAATCATGATATGTATTATGGGTCACTATTGGTAATTAAACTAGAATATATTCTTAAGAGTTCAACCAATAAAGTTCCTTGTATGTATGTCTTTGTGTACATATGACTTTGAATTAAAACAATAAAAATGTGACATGTTTTTGCATGAAATGATTTTTATCAAATACATGACTTATTGACTTCGTATCTAAAAGTCTTTTGAAGAAAAATCACCTGGACTTGAAATGCACAAATTTTAAACAACATGTTTAAAAATATCAAATGCCTTTTGTATTTATAAACAAGCACTACAACAAATAAGGTTTTCAGCGGCGGTTTAAACTGCCGGTTTTAGGTACAAAAAGCGCCGGTCATACATATACCGGCGGTTCTAGATAACCGCCGGTATAGTCACCGCCGGTAAGCTTCACCGGCGGTTTATAAGCAACTTCCGGGTTTGAAATCATTATTGGCGGTCCAATAAAACCACCGGTGAAATTTTAATTAACGGCGTTCTTGTCTGCCGGTGTATTTTAAGTAAACTGTCATTGTAACTGTCTATTCCGGCACTTTGAAGCGCCGGTAATGTATGTTCTTTTTAGGGGCGTTTGTAACTACCAGTGTTAGAATTTATCTCCGGCACCTTAAAGCGCCAGTAATGTATAATTTTTTCTTTTTAGGGGCATTTTAAATCGCCCTTTTTAATGATATACTCCGGCAATTTAAAGCGCCGGTAATGTATAAATTTTTACTTTTAGGGGCGTGTTAAATTGTCGGTGTATTGTAAGTGAACTGTAATATTTTTTCATTTGGGGCGTTTTAAACCGCCGGTAATGTGTTAATTTTTTTTAAAATTTTTTTTTTTTTTTTGGTTTAATTTACATATTAGCAAATATTTTATTTTGTTCCCTGTTTAATGAAATCACATGTAATTTACCAATCACAACACATCCAACAACTTAAATTTGATATATAACATAGAACAAAGAAAGTTGCATTAAAATTCAGTAACATCCCATAACATCTAAGTTTTGTTTCAAAATGTCAAGTGCTAATAAAAGGTTCAAAAGGAAATCATGCAAAATAAAACATCAACATTTCATTGAGAATTTGGATGAGACTATGCGAGGGCCTTGAGAATTAATGGTTCAATTTCATCTCTCGTCTTTCTTCAAATTGCCCTACATACATTTTAAATAAAAGCCATGAAACAAAGAATAATAATTAAGACAATTAAATGTATGGTTAAAAGAAAATGATAATTAAAATCTAAATGCTCACCAAGGATGAAATTCCATGACCAAAAATAAAGTTTAAGGATCACCAAGTGTAGTAGTTGAGGAGCCGGGTACCTTCACAATAAAATATAATTTTATTATGCACCTTCATAATACAATATAATTATAAATATATTAGGACTTATAAAATTTATATAGTTAAATGTTTACAAGGGTACAATAACAAAATTATTTACCTGTACATTAGAATTTTGATTTTCGATATGACGCAAAATCATAGCCATCTTTGCATTCAAAGCTTCATATTTTTTATCATACTCGGCACGTATCTTGTCCACTTTCTCATTCATTTCTGCACGAGCAAGACGTGCCTCTTCCTCTGCTTGTGAGGTCCTCCTTATCAGCTCCGCTTTACTAGGAGATGGCCCCCAAAGACTAGTTGGCGTAGGTCCCAAGCCATACATCCTAACACGGCCCCTTCTTTCTTCTCCCCTAACTTGGGCATAAAAATCATGGGGTGAAGGTTCATCTGGGTTAGAAGGCTGAGTTGCAGCAAGCTCTTCTAGTTGTGTCTGCATACATAGAATGGATAGGGAAACACAAAAAGATAAAAAATAGCAAATATAATAAATTTTAGTACTCATATTTTACACTTAATCAAACTAGAAAATAAATAATTGAAGGTCTAAAAAAATTCTTACAATCATTTTGGCAGCATGTTCATCACTAGCTTTGCCATCCTTCTTGCTCTTATGTATTGCGCAAAATAGTTGAGCATGAGTTGGCGCCTTCCCTGATTCCAACTTCATTTGTTTTTTTTTTTTTTTTTTTTTTTAATATATATATATATATATATATATATATATATATATGTTATTATAATTATATCGCACTGATGTATAATAAATTGTGTGACATACAAGTGATTAACTTAAAAAAAAAAAAACAACAGACTTAACCTTTTCAGCCTTCCGCACATAACTCATTGTCCCAGTTGTGTGCAGCATTGTTTGCTTAGAGCAATTTACTTCATTTTGTTGGCTTTGTTTCTAAAACAAAGGAATAAGAAGGTATATATTAGCCTTTTAAATTGTAAACACACACATGTTATATATGAGCTAAGTAGATTAATCCTTATTTTTAAACAAATGTTATATATGTTACAGGTTAAGTGAACACTAACTATGAAAAAATTAGCAGGATGTCTAACAACTAAATGATTTAACATTTTTTTGTACATTGACTTCCTCTTTGTTTTTACAACTAGAGTTGTCTTGTAATATCATTTCTACTCCATTTATTAGCTTCTTGCTAGTTGCTTTTGCTTGTAATCTATATCAACTTCTAGTATTTTGGTCAAATTGATTAAGAATAAATAGAACTTGGTTCTGCTACATTACTATCCTTTAAGGTTACTTTCATTTCAGGTTGTAAATGACTTGTTGAATCCAGTGGGATAGAATCTAAGAATCAGAGAGCACACTCAGGTACTTTTTACCATTTTATTGTTATTATGATTTGGTAATTGTTATTGGCTGAACTTGGCAAAGCTTTAGCAGAAAATGTGTTGAATATGACACATACAAGGATACATCAAAAGCTTCTGTTTCTTAACTCTCATGACATATGAGCTGGAGCCTACAATTTTTTTTTGGGTAAATGGGGCCTTCAGTTTTTGTAAGGTGCATATGGACAATTTTTTTTTTTTTTGTTTTTTGTTTTTTGGGGGGGTGCGTTCCAGAATTTGTATGCAAGGCTTAAATTTTGAACTTAAAACCTATCAAGGATCAAAGTCCTAAAAGCTCCTGGCTATGTGTCATAATACCTCTCAACAAATCTATGGCCATGTGCTTAGTTTCAGCACTGGATCATGCTACCACTGTCTACTTCTTACTTGACCAGTTACATTTACAAATTCTAAAAGGGTATTTGAATGACAACTTATTTCAAATGTTAGATTAATTTCATGGTCTAACATTGACTTTTCTCTCTCTACTTCTCTGTTCCTTGACTGAAAAAAACTAGAATAAAATGCTAGAAGCTGACTGAAAAAAACTAGAATAAAATGCTAGAAACTGACTAGGAAAAAATAGTAGAAACTGACTAGGAAAAAATGCTAAAAATCATTCAACAACCAAATCAAGCAACCAAACAGCAACCCTGAACCACCAATTCAACCACCCATAGCAATCAACACTCGAATTCAAACTCCAACAACCAAATCAAGCAACCAAACAGCAACCTCGAACCACCAATTCACATGTCCTCTTTAATTATCCAATTGTAAATAAGCATTATCCAATTTTAAATACACATTAGATGGGAATATACTTATATATACATGGAATGATAAATCTAATATTATTAAATAACCTAAATAACATTATGAATTACCTGTGCTGCCTCTGTACGCCAATATCTAATGAGATAATCCCGTTGGTCCTCCTCAACACTTGGTGGTGGGTTTGCATATCGTTGTTCATCTGTACGCCAAATTTTATAATAGTTACTTTTAATTTCACTCTTCCAATCTCTTCATTTATGACCAAGGGATGATAATGTCCAATCTTTTGAGATTTCTTCTACTGCAAACTTGCCCTGCATATAAAAGATAAATAAATAAAGATTCGAGTAATTAAAAAAAAAAAAAATGTAACTCTAGAAATGAAATGTGTATACAAGTGAAATCAATCAGTCAAAGATGTGAAGAGTCGAAAAAATTTTACCCGGACCGTCGTCCACATGTCCTCTTTAACTATTTCAAGGACTTTCCTCCAATTTTTGTAGTTCAAGGGAGCTGCAAGACCATTACGGGCAATTGTGCCCAAATAATTAGCGAAATTTTTTTCATCGGCTCCATTAGGCTGTCCATGCTCATTCACACTGTAAAATGGTATAATAATAAATAAGTCATCGATTTGGACCAAATAAGTAAAATGGTATAATAATAAATAAGTCATTCACACTATAAAATGGCTTCACTTGCATGCATTTCCTAAAACTTTATAGTCATTCAATGCCATCATTTAAATAAAGTCACCTTAATGGTATCAAGCCATTCTTTTTGGTGTCATGTTGTACCATATTTGCGCAGCGTGTGGGGCCTCGAGTCTTCTTTGGTGTTATTAACTCATTGCTTTCAGTAGTCCCCACGTCCTCTTCTTGTGAACCATGGGAAGTATGGGACTGCGAATTTGAACCCTAAGAAAGTCCTCCATGCAATTCTAATTCCAAGTTTGTTGTTGCCCTACGTTTCATTATGTTCCTGCATAAAGCTAACAAACCTTTGTTGCCATGTTTATTCAAGCTGGTAGTTAAGATGAAATTTAGGCTGAATATATTAGGTCTTCAAAAACATCAAAATTTGGAAAAGTAACACACTTGAGAACAATTACAATATGCAAGAAGGAAGTATAAATTTACTTAAGTATGATAGTACCACAGTTTTATTTGTTTTAGGACAATATCAATTTGAAATATGTTAAAAAAAATAAATAAATAACTAATATTATGTATACTCTTTTTACTTACCAAGTTATAAGAAAATGAGTAAGGGAGGGAGAGATGGAAAAATGGTTTAAGTGATTTTCTCATGAATAATGGTTTTTGACAAAATTAATATATATCTCTCATCATTTTCAAAATCATTGATAACATCATGTTGATTGCACTTACATGAATAATATTATCTTTAAATTAACATTTATGTTTTATACAAAGAAGTTTACCTCAAACATGCAAAATAAATTGAAATTAGCATATAAAGTAAGGGCCTGTTTGTTAACTGTTTTACTTTGGTGTTTTTGTTGCAGGGCTTCATTTCAGGCCCAAAAACATGTTTGGTAGCACTTGTTTTGTTTTAAACAGTGATGAAATATTGTTTTAAACAGTACTAAATTTGGGCCCAAAAGTGAAACACCAAAATGGTGTTTTTTGTTGTTTCAATACTGTAGCCCAATAAAAAGCACTGTAACGGATGAAGTAAGTTGGGTCTAACACTGTAGCGGAGGAAGTAATTTAACAGTTTAACTGTAGTTCGCAACATTTGGCCCGATGTTTTCTCTCTCCTCTGAAACCTAGAGAAGGCGATTTGGGAGGCGACGAAAAGGAATTGCGATATACTGTAAGTACTCTCTCTTCTATTTCTCTCCTGTTTAGACCTTTCCTTTGTTGTTTCCTTTGATGTTGCTTTACTTAATACTTCCAAATCTGCAAGCATTAAGTCGTTAAAAAGTCGATGCTTTTCTAGATTTATTTGTGTTCTTGAGGGTTTCTGAAAACCGAATAGTTTCTAGTTCTTTTAAATCCAAAATATCTATTTTAATATCTACTAGTTCTGTATTCGTCTTCCTTTTTTTTGTGGGTTTCTCTAATTTTGTGCAAACATCTTCTCCAAGAACTTCTATTGAACCATCATTTGCTGTTTTTTTGGAAGGAAAAAAAGAGAGCCAAATTCTGAGCTGTTGATATTTTTTTTCATTAAATACTATTAATATTATTTTTTATATCGAAAAAGGAGTTTTTGTAGAGAAGTTCCAAGTGAATTTGTGCATATGATTTTTTTTTTTTCTTCCAAATTTGTGCATATGATTAAGTAAGTTGATTTGTGTAATTGTTGTTCCAAGTTGTTAGTTGGTCTTTGTGGATATTTACAATTGCAGAAATATTTGTTGTATATCTACTCTTTATGGGTTATTTTTATTTATTTATTTATTTTAGTATGTGGAGACTTAGTAGGAATTGCAAAGGATGGGGGGCTCTCAGGCTTTTACGTTGAAGGCCATCTGGTGTAGAAAGATACCTTTTGAGGAAGTTTTTTGAGTTGGCACGTAGCATACAAGAATTTTTTTAAAATATAGATAAGGTGATTTATCTTGTATATTTGTCGTGTATGAAGGGATTCAGCAGAGATTATGAACCATTTGCTGAGTCAATGTGTGCTGGTGAGGGAATTTTGGTATCTCCTCATTTCCTTGTTTAAAATTAAGTGGGTAATACCAAGATCTACATGGGAGTTGTTAAAGTGATGGAGAGGGGTTTGTGTTTATTTGAGGGCAGAGAATTGAGGACACCAGCACCACTTTGTTGATGGTGGAACCCTGGAGCATTTAGTTGGAGCTCTTATAAGATCATTCCAAGGGGTAAAATTGATGGATCTGATTTGAGAAGTAAGAGAGATATTATTAGAAGCGTGGGAAAATTTCGCAACAAAAGTCAGAGTCTGTAGTTTTTGTTTTATTTTTAAAAGATCTATGGACCATAAAGAGAAATAAATTGAAGATAATTGAAAGGGTTAAAAGATAATTCACCTTTGGAATTACTAATACACCTAAAAATAAATTAAGCTAGGGAAATACAAATTATCAATATAATAGAATTAGTAGTGGAGACTCAAGAACAAGGTTCAAATACTCGGTTGAGATCTAGACAGCGTGGCTGAGCCCTATTGGTCTCAGCAGTCCTTGCAACGAGATCGAATTGAATTACATTCAACCAATGTAACATGGACTCTTAAAAAAATGCATGATGTATCATGTATTTGCGTCGAGCACAGGACACTTGGACGTGTGTAGCAGATATTTGTTCGACACATAAAAACTAATAAGCAATCATTCAAAAAATTCAAAATTATTATAGAAACTATACGTAAAACATTTTTATCATGTTCCGTTCACTTGAAAAAAATGAAAACATTATTTCACTCCAGGAATAAAAATATGTATATATTAATTAATAGTGTTTTGGTTTTGGGAATTTGATAAATCCAATGTTTAAACACATACTTGCAGCCGACACCCATACCCACTAAACACATACCTGGACTGTTGAGTAGTATTTAGTTTTTAATTTAATAAGTAAATCAAACTTCTTTTTGAATTATCACAAGGCTTGCTTGTCAAGCTATGAACCTATGAAGCTGCCAGCAACCTAAAAGTTCCAAGTCAAAAAGCCACTTTATTGGGCTCCAACTATAGTCAACTTGCAGAATTCATGAATTTTGAATTGTTGATTTGAGTCAAACTTTCATTCTAGTTGGTGATTTAATTTAGTTTGAGGATCTGCCATTTAACTTTCAAATTGAATAATTTTGTCCAAGTACTTTTGTTTTAAAATTCAGGTAATTTGTGAGTCATTTAGAAACTTAATGCTTTTTTAGTCACTTTATTAGGTTTTACGAGACACAGAGAGAGACCATTAGATTTTTAAAAAGGTATGAAATAGCACTTTTGCAAACTTGCTAGGGCAATCCTGGGTCTCAAAAAGGTTGTTCCGGCTTATAAATAGTAACTATTTGAGCAATACTTATGAAATTCCAGTATGCTACACCGGCCTTTTCCCTCTTCCTTTCCCTTTTGATCTAGACAGCAATACTTATGAAATTCCAGTATGTATCTGAGGGGAATAAACATATTCTAATAGTATAAACATTTATAAATCCTGTATCAATAGTTGTGATAGTGTAGCTTTAATACCATCAATAGTATCAATAGTTGAATGATTCTAAATTTTTAACTGTATATGAACAAGTGGCAATCTTTTTGCTCACTTTATCTCATAATCAAATGAATCGTGTTGTAGCAGAGAGATTTCAACACTCCACTGAAATCATTTCCAGACACTTCCATGCTGTGTTGCATGCAGTATGTCAGTTGGGCACCCATATCATTGTCCCTCCTGATTTTTCTGTGATTCCGAATAAGATTAAAGGGTCTTCTAGGTTTTACCCTTACTTCAAGCATTGCGTGGGAGCTATAGATGGAACCCACATTCCTGCGACTCTGCCAGTAGCTACACAACTTCCATTTCATGGTAGAAAGGGTTATATCACACAAAATGTAATGGCTGTATGTGACTTTGACATGAGATTCACATATGTGCTAGCTGGGTTGGAAGGCTCCGCTAATGATTCGAGAATTCTAAAAGAGTGTATTGAGAATGAGGCAATGAACTTTCCAGCTCCACCACCAGGTATTATTATCTTACAAATTCACTTAATGTATGGTTAGTTTATCATAGTGTATATATCTTTACGTATTTTAAACATTGCAAGTAAGTATTATTTGGTGGATTCAGGGTATGCCAATAAGCTTGGTTATTTGGCCCCATTTCGAGGTCATACTTACCACTTTCAGGAATACCGTAGGAGTAGACCACCCCGTGGTCGGAAGGAAGTGTTCAATCATAGGCATTTATCTTTGAGAAATATAATTGAGCGATGCTTTGGGTTGTTGAAGATGAGATTCGTTATTTTGAAGGCAACGCCTCCTTATAAGTTTTCAACACAAATATTGATTGTAATGGCTTGTTACACATTACACAACTTTATTAGAAATCAATATCACCCTGATGATTTATTTGATGGCGACGATCCTCCTCAAAGTGATGGTGAAGACGATGAGATTGTTGAGCATGTGCTTCCGGCTCAGCTTCGAGAAATGGATCAATTGCGTAATACTATTGCTAATCGAATATGGAATTCTCTTAGGCACTCTTGATCTTCCTAAAACTGATGGCATGTTTTTTCTTTTATATGTAATATATTTGTTGTTTTTGTGGGTTTGTAATATATATATGTACTATATATCATTTTTGCTGCTATTATTTTGCTTTTACTATTAATGGTTGATATTATTGTTAATATTTTTCAACTTAAATTCTACCATTGCAGATATGAAGTGTGTTGATACTCTCTTGAAGATGATGTGTGCTGTTATGAAGATGACGTGTCCTACCATTGAAACTTGTTTCATGGAAGTAAAATTTGTGCTTTTTTAAGCATGTCTCCTGTAAGATCTTTTGAGTTTTTTTTCTGATACCTTCCTAACAGTGAAGGAAAACATAAGGAAACATCTTTTTATTTGTTAAGCATCTTTTTCTTTGTTTTTGAATCTTATTGTTGAAATTTGTAAACAATGAAGTGAATTGTGTTTGAACTTTGAATTATATCTCCTGTTTAATTTAATCTACTATTTAATTTGTTTTCAGTTTCTTTGTCATTTTTCTTAATACAGAAGAATGAGTATGATTTGAGAAGCTTCATTGCAAGCTTCCATTCTGGCAGGGTGCCTTTTTTATTTTTTTTTATTTTTATTTTTTTATGACTCCTTCATAGATGTTTTGTGAAGTTTAACTCCAAATAGATGGATTAGAAATGAAAAAGGTGATCTTAATATCTAGATCATAAGAACACAGTAAAAAGATGGAACTCTACATGTCAAATTATATATATATATATGTTTGTGTGTTCAAATTTCAATATATTTATTAAAATATATATATACTATTTATATAGAAATAAATTTATAAATAAATTTAAAATTTATAAAAATAAATTAAAAACAATGATAACCAAACATGTTTTTTGTTTCTGTTTTTTTTTTTTTTTTTTTTTTTTTTTTTTTTTTTTTTTTTTTACAACAATTGAAGTTACCAAACATGTTTTGTTTTCAAAATTCTTGAAACGCATGGCTTACCAAACATGTTTTTCATATTTCTATTTCTGACATTTCCACAACAAAACATCTTTTCCAATCGTGTTTCCGATTTTTGCCAAAACATTCCAATAGTAAAAACACTGTTTCTGTTTTTGCTAAAAACAAAACGCCTAAAGTAAAACGCATGCCAAACGGGCTCTAAATGTGTTTTGCTTGGTCCCAATTTGGTTTTTCAATTATTTATTTATGGCTCTCCCAAATACTTGTACACTTGCCAATTTTAAATAAAATATTTCATATTGTTTTATAAATATCCTTAAAGTTTGATTGTTTATATATATTCAAACTTGAAAGAATAATTTTGTAATTTTTAAAAGGAACTATGTATAAATTGCACATCTCTTTAAAAACTCTTCTTTCTAAAAGTGACATCTAAACAAGAGATGAGCGGAAAGGAATAGTACCACGTTATCAGCCGGAAGAAAGAAAAAAAAAAAAAAAAAAAATGTCTTCTCGCTCAAAAGGATAAGAAAAATACTTATTTATATTTAAATAATTTCTCTTATTCTTTAAAGAAATATTAGTTGGCAAGCTTGAAGCATTGTAAATACTAAATTATTTATATGTGATGATCTCTGCAAAGTCGAAATTTTTGCATACAGTAAATATTTTGATGAGCTTGAAGTTTCATGAACATGATACTCTTTGTGAATTCGAAGTTTTCCAAAATCTGGGAGTAAATGAGTAAAAAAAAAAAAAAAAAAAAATGTTGAGATGATTTTGAAAACTAATTTTTTGAGGGAGGCGTAATATATAAATTTCTATATATATATATATATATATATATATATATATATATATATATAATTAAAAAAATCCATATATATTATATTGGCCGGGGCCGTGGAATTTGGACCAGACACTGAACGTGGCAACACAGCGTAATGGGAACTGCAATGTTACAGGACTTGAATATTTCATTGGTTCCGCTTGGTCCATAAGTGTCCACTTGGGCTCGGCCCAAGATACATTGCAGCACAACATTAAAACGTGGACCCTTTAGGCTGCAGCCCAGTAATTAATGGGCCTGTCGTTGTGTTAACCCAACCGAGACTACACTGGTCAGTTATCGCCACGAGAGCAACAGACCCATGTAGTTGCCCAAGAAGCATTACAACGAGTGTACACTGGTCAGTTTTTTCACCGTGAGTACTCCACGCACAATTGACCCATGATGGTCTTTGACAAGTGGGCCAGAGTGTGACGAGTGACGACCAATTGACCAATGGTAGTCAATTTAAAATTAACTATCATATGACTACTTAAGCAAGTCTTTAAAAGTTGTCCAATGCTCAGAATTTACTATTCATGCGTGGAGCAATTGATCAAGTGGTAGATTGCTTGCCACAAATTTCGAAGGTGATGGTTCAATCCTTGTAGCTTTAAACACTGAAGAACAAACATTACATAGTGAATCATTATATGAAGCCAAAAGTTAAACTGCATTACATAATCTATATAGATATATCATAATTCCACTAATATGCACAGGAAAAGAAAGTGCACTGTCAACCACTAATTAAAGCATGACAGTATCTAGAAGTTAAAAGTCAAAGTCAAAGTCAAATAATATTCAATACTATTCATTATTCATTATTCATCATTAATCCAAAAAGCGGAAAAATTAATTATATTAAATAAAGGACAATATTTAGGTAGGATTTATAACGTACTCACATTTGGACCAATAATAAATGGACATGTGATCTTTAATAACCAAATTAAAGATAATTGATCCACATCAGTGGTGAGTATATTATAAATCCTCACTATTAAGGACCTAAGTATTGTTATTAAATAAATTAATTAAACAATAAAATTGGTAAGACCAATCATAAGAAATAAATCATTAAATTAGAAAGACGATCAAACTAGCCATATATATATAATTTGTGTGTGAGCACATATATCACTTAGACGGACTGTAATGATCCGGTCATTTTTCTTCTTTTCATTCTCTTAAATTTTATGGATATTTTTTTTTTTAATTATTTTTTTTTCGTCAGTTTTTCATATTGCGTAACCTATCGGGTCGTACTCGGATTTGATTCCGGCCTTGAATGCATTCATTTTACTTGATTTCCATGTGTTGGCACATTTTTATTTTTGTAGAAAAGTATGTTAGGTGTTACTTTTGCCCACAGGGTATAAATGTAAAGATTCTTGAAATTATTTTTTTTACTTGGGGTATTTTTCGTAATTATATTTTGATGATATTTTGTATTTAGGGTTCTTTTAAATGTATCTTTTGAATGACACTTCATTTTGGATTTTTTGGAAAATTCACTTTTTGAGTTTTTTAGTGAAGGGCATTTGCGTAACTATGAAAAGTTTTCTGAAAAGTTTCTCGTTTTGGATTCAAACTTTCATGATTGGTTTATTTTCACTTTTTATGAACTTTGGCACTTCCGAAATATTTTTCAGTTTTTTATTTCATTTATTTTGAAATTTGGAATCTCGTTAGTCGTTAATCTTGTCCGGGGGATATCTCCTCGCTCAAGACTCAGTTTTTGACTCCGTTTCTTCCGTTGATCTTAGAATTTCATTTTGAAACTTTTTTGTTCACGAACCATCCTCATTTGAGCGCATATTCATAAATTTCAAGTTTTGGACCCGAACGAGGCCCATTCGGATTGTTCAGGACACCTTTTTGACCTATTTAGGGTAAGTGGATGAGAGAGAAAGTCATTGCATCTTTTTCACTTCCCAAAAACAGTAGCTACAGCTGCCATTAGAGGAGCTTGGAGTTGCCCTCTCTCTCTCTCTCTCTCCTAGTTTCATCTACTTCCTCTTTGATCCTGCCTTTTGCAATTTAGACTTTTTTGATGTCCTTGATGACGTGGTGATTTTTACCCGATCGGTTTTTGATTTGCAGCACTTTGATTTTTGGGTTGTGAGTTCAAGCTTAGATTTGGGTCTTGTCACTAGAGGATTTCTTGCTCTCCATGTTGTCCCCGTCATAATCCCGAAGTTTCATCGCATTTTGTGAAGTTTGATTTTAGTGTGATTTGAGATTTTTATCTCAAAATGAGGTAGGGGATGTTTCATGTTTATAATTTTAGTGTTTTACATGTTTTTGAGGTTTATATAACTTGTATACATGTTTGAAGTTTAGATCTAGAAATGATTTTTATTTTAATTAAATGATGATTTAATTTCATAGTTGAAGCATGCTTAGATTTTAATTTAGAATATATTATTTGGAGAGTACATGACTTGTTGTTTATCATATATTATTTTTAGAATTTTTGGATGACTTTTGAAATTTAGAAAATTTTAAATTTAACTAGGTGTTTTAATGACTTAATTAGACGCTTGATTTGATATTTGAGTTATTCATGGTATATTACTTATTATATGTTAATTTCATGTCATTTGGTGATATTTTGCTATATAGAGAAATTAATTAATTTTTATTTAATTAGTTTCTATTCAATGAAATTATGATTTATTTGCACCTTTGATATTTTTAAGGCCCATTATGTTATATGCCATGGTAGTTGAGGGCATGTCTTGTGTGTTCCCACAATTTGATTGTGTATGATATTTGATTATATGCCTGTGATATATGTGTATATACTTGTTACGCACAACTTGTTGATTTTGGAAACTTTGGATGTCATATGAATGACCATGGCTTGGGCACGGCTCTGGTACGAGGAACAGAAGGAGCTCTCTATTTTATAGTGCGCGCTTAGGGGGCAAGCACCCACGGGCTAGTAACCCAAATGATGCTTGGGTCCGGTTTTATTTCAGCTTGACGTCCAAATCTCCGCTTGTTTGATTTCGCATTTCAATTCCAAGTTGTTTACTTTATGGATTTATATTTCATTACTTGGTATTTGAAGTTTCAATGTTACTTAATTGCTTATTTATTGTGATTTATGATGTGGATGTTCTAATGTAACTTAAGAAGATCCCTTAGTCTCACATTGGATATAGATGTTAGATGGCATGAATCACATGGATTGATTTATATCAACTTATAAAGACTTCCAAAA